TAGGGTAAGTATCCTAATACAATTAAATTTATTTATTTTTAGACACTTGTGTGGCAAACACACGAGTCCCGAAAGCACAACTACCCACCCTCAAAACTGATAATTTATTTTGTAACTTCTTTTTATTCTGAGCAATCCCACATCCATACATAGTCGGACATTTTTTTTATAATATTGGAGATATAAATAAATGGAACAACTGCGAAGAAATGTTAAGAATTCGGAGGCCCTATAAAACGAAGCGATTTTAGTGAACGTGCAGACGACAGGTTTTTATTGCTTTTAAAGAATTTTTCCGTGAGGATCCAATGAAATGAATGAGGTAATTCGTGCAGTCCAATTTTTTTGAAATTCTATTTTTATAGATTAGTTCGTTTGTCAATTAAATAAAAACTTAAAGTTTAAATATTAGTTAAATTATTTTTAATTGAATTTAACTACGGCCCGACGTTTCCAACCACGCATCCAAATCATCTGCTATACTTAAATTAAATAAAAAATAAGTTAACTAATATATTTTGCGTTTTAAACTGCTTCAAATCGATGCTAGGCGGCGATAGTTTATAATACTTTGAATCTAAATATTTACAATTTTTGAATTTGAATATTATACACACGTAGTGTGTATAATTACAAAAGATTTTTATATGCATGTAAGACTCAACATAATAAAAACTTAATCGCACAATAGCAATACGGTTTTCCGCCCAATACCGTCGCTACGCTATAACTTGACCGACTTCGAAAGCCAAACATTGAAAACACCCGCATTACGTAATATTACATTTTCTTTTGTGCTATTCGAGTCCATTTTTATTCCCGTTTCGTTCATTGTTTTCGTAATTTGTGAAAATCTCCGCATTTCGGAATGAAAACGTGATTTAGTGTGCGCCGAAATGAAACTACTTGATAGAGTTGCATTTTCTCTTTTCAAACTGATTGTGCTCGTTTTGAATACAATAATCAACAGGGTTTTGTAAGGTTTCTGTGACTAGTAACTTATGAAAAAAAAATTACAAATAATATATGCGTTTTTTCAAAAAGTGTAAATAATAAAGCGTCCCCACGGACCCGAAATTCAGGGTTCTGGTCTGAAATCTTACAGTTTATGTGACCACTTCCCCTTTTATCCGTTTTCGAGCAATAACTAACAACTATTGTCTGTAATTTACGCAAGGTGTACACATTGAAATAAAATAATATCATATAGCACAATAAATATATAAGTTCAATCATATTTCGCGCTTTTTTATTATTGAAATACCAACCAATTGATATATTTTTAAAATACAATATTTTTCTTAGTTTATTATATAAATTAAGGGCAGGACTTGAACTGGCATCTACAGAGCGACACGGTAACGCAATTAGTTAGAGAAACAGTACTATATGATGCCGGTTAAAATCATTCCGTTTTTTAAATGAATATATAACAATAGAAACCACTAACTTGAGAAAAATATGATTATCTTATTGTAATAATATGAATATTTCGCAAGAGCGCTCATAGTTTATCGCCGTTACAAGGAGACACTGATTTCGCAAGTCGAGTCGGAAGTCGAAAAAAGCGAACAATACATAAAGATAATGCGTCTATGTTCTGTGAGAATGTCGTTCTTTGATCCGCTCGAACTGTACGAGCGTGTCCCTAATGCTGAGGAAAATATTCAAATTAGCTTTGTTTTCTAGAATACTATTACCAAATCAATGCTTTTTTATGACAAGACAGACAAACACGAAATTAAGTTGGTGGAAATAATTTATTTTCGATAACCTATAGGCTTATTTCGCTTTTGGACATTCGAAACATTTCAGTAGTACCTACTTGTACATATATTTTTTCTCGAAAACAAAAAACTGTTGTACGTTATTAACTGTAATTATATTAAACTAGCTGAGCTGATAGGGGTTGATCGTAGAAGGGTGAAAATTGAGCATATATTTATATATTAGATTATTCAAGTTTTAGTTCAAAACACTTGCAGTTAAGTATTGGCAGTGTAAGGGAATAGCACACATTTAATAACGGTTTAAAATACTGTCTATAATTTACGCGATATATTAGTTAATATATCGCGTTTTAAACCGTTAAAGTGTTTTATTTAAACGGTTTAAAACGCGAAAAATATTAGTGAACTCACACTAAATACTTAATCTGTACTTAATATATGAAGTTGAAGAGTATGTTTGTTTGTTTGAACGCGCTATAATGTCAGGAAGTGCTGGTTTGAATTGAAACATTATTTTTGTGTTGGTTAGAGCATTTATTGAGGAAGGATTTATAGGCTATGAAAATAGGACCAAAGAAACTATTGACTATTTAGTCCATTATATTATCTATCTTAGCCATATAAGCTACTGTTTATTGTGCAAAATTTCTATGTTTTTACGGATCACTTTATTCGGCGTCAGATTCAAAACCGGCTTATTAGAAATGGGTTTTTATTCCTATTCTTCGATAAACGAACGTTGCTAAAATTAAATACAAAATACATAAATGTCAGACTAACACCGGTACTCTTTTCAGCGCCAAGTTTGATTTACACAATACTTTTACCTAAATGCAAACGCGTTTCTATAGATTGTTTGCGGAAGGCACGGAGCCGATGTTATCCAGCGTAGCCATTATCACGAGAGCACAATGAGGAGGTTGTTAGAGCGCCATTGTGGATGGACCCGTTGACGCAACAAATCGATTTACGCTTTTCAAAATCGGGTGACTGTACGTTGGTGTTTCGGCCTATCTATGTTTTATAAATACCGATGGTATCGCATAGGTCTCCTCGGTACCATTAATTCTGTTACAGCATTTCAGCTAACTATATAATAATATTTGAGCTAATCGATGTCATTTTTATAGAAAAAAATGGAATTTAAAGAGCTTCCTTCGTTTCGACAAGCACAATAAGTATGTATAGCTAGATTAAGTAATTTCACATGTTCAAAGTACTCACACTTGTATGTACTAAATGTCTGTCACCAATGTAAAAAGATATTTTATATAAAAGGTAACAGACAAGCATGGAGTTCATATTTTGTTGGTTGATAAAATGAAATACCCCAGACAATAAACATCTCAACAATATGCGCTGTCGTCCTATTTCGGCTTCGGTTCTTTACTTGGATAGAATTAAGATATTATTTGATTACAAATACATATGTTGGAGTCGGTGGGGATCGAAGCCACGGCCAGCTGATAATTCGCCATACATTGCTACCTTGACCAACGCGTAACATTACCGTACATTTTACAAGTTCATAAAAATTGTCCCTAATGGTATATATCGAAAAATATTTGAACAAAGACGTCCCAAGCTTTAACGTGACAAACATAAAACTTAATATCGTTACATCCCGGCGAAGAAAAGTAGCCCGTGTCTCGTAGGCACAAGGACTACATCGATAATCGCTTTGTGCAATTTATTATTTTGAGCACGTAATTCAGCGCTTTCAGTCGTTTCAGTGTTCTTTGAAAGATAATGAGAGCGTAAGAGTTAGAAAATCACCGTGCGTACAAATCTAGTATATTTTTGTGGCGCTATTAAACCATAGCATACATGGCATTCGCTGTTAGTTTGCAAACTGCCTTTACTTATAGATTTGAGCTATTCGGCCGTCATAATCTAGAAATGATACTCTATGTATTATGTTACAAATGATTGCAAGGTTTATCTTCAATTTGAGACATATATTTCTGTCTGTAGTCTACGGTAGTAGTAGTAGTAGAGACATTTGAATAAAGCAATTAACCGGTTTAAATGCGTAAGTAGATTAACAAATCCTTGTAACTTAAAAAAAAAAATTCAAACTTTAAATATATTAGATAAAATAAGTGAAGAATAATATCTACCAATACTAGTAGAAAGTTTCGTAAGTTAATTCTTACACGGAACTGAATAGATAAGTAATAATTATTTATTCATGATTGCTTTTAGACTTAATTTAATGCGGAATTTAATTTAAAACACTTTTTATGATTAAGAACACAAAATATTGCAAAATATTTTAAACTAAAGAGCCAACTCGGTTGTTTAACAGTAACTGTGGTCACGGAAAGATCACGATTAAAGTATTTATTTATTTAAAATTTAAGGCGCGCTATTCGTATTGTAATCTGGGCGGCTATTTCTACTTATAATAAACAATCAATAGCTTTATATTGGTAGTTGAAGACGATTTTACGTGTTAATAAATAAAAAGCGTGTCAGTCAAATGTAAAATGTTGCCATATTGAACTGTCTGCCGAAGGCCACTCTCAGAAGATGCTTCAATCAGCTTTTATGGCACTGAGTGTTCTCGCTTACACTTTATGTTTGGTCTGAGAGCTTTTCCAAGACTTCTCAAATAAGTATTTGCACTTGACATTATTGAAATTTCAGGTCATTGTATGATACGTAACAGGGATTGAAAAAATACGCGTTCAAATGAAAACAAAATTCGTGCATTATATTCTTTCAGTTAATTTTTAACTACGTCCCGATGTTTCGTATGATTTGCAGCAGCCATGGTCACGGGGAGACTTCATATTCATCCAAAACGTCGGGCCGTAGTTAAAAATAGTTTCTAAAGCTAATATATATCGCGTTTTAACCGTTAAACTGTTTTATTTAAATGTGTACTACTCGCGAAAACTACAGACAGTATTAAAAAACTAAAACATTAGTGTTTTTTAAAAAATAACACTAATGTATCAGTTGCAATAATGTATTAGTTAACTTACTTTCAATTTATTTCAACTACGGCAGCTGTTAACTGATATAGTTCGAGTTTTAAACCGTTAAAAGTGATTTATTTAACTGTGTGCAATTCGCGTAAACTACAGATGATAAATACTTAGGAACCTCTTTCTTAAAACTTATATCAATGTTATGAAGTCCGCCTTCAAGAAATTGTATTAAGTAAAATTGCATAACAGTTATTTTTTAGTATGATTATTTATTATGAGTATCATTTACAATACTTGTGTATCGGTCGCATTTTGTAAGCCGAACCTCTTTGAAATGGGTAATAACAAGCGAGATTTTCCTATCGACACCGTACACCGTGTATCGTGACGATGTATTGAGTGTCTTCCGGGTAAAAGTTGTTCGCACACTAGGAACAATGCCACGCTCATGAGCGGAGCGATGATGACACATACATTACGCGTAAATACGTTTAGTTTAAAGAAATTCGATTTCAGATTTCACATTTACACAAAGTTGATTTCAAAGTTGTAGAAGTTCTATTACTCTTAAGACTAAACAAAAAAGCAAGGAAACCTACTCAATTAGATCAAAACACTAGCAAACATAAACATGTGAAAGTGCTACTTTTTTCAAGTAAAATTAATTGATAGTGCGTTCTATTTATCGCTATGCCTCTCGCTCAGCTTGTCAAAATACTTTGCCTTATTTAGCGTGCCTTCAACTGTTACACTTTTTTTGTCGAACATTTGCTAATAACAATACATAGTGCACGAATGTGCGTACATCTTAAGATACGATCATGTTTTGCATATGCATCGAATCGTTGCGTCGTTTGATTTGTGATTTTTAGATATTATTTATGGTATTGAAGAAGCATCAAATCGACCTTGGACAATTCAAACAAAATTATTTTGTCACAAAAACATTTCGACTACCTAACCCATGATAAATACTATCAGATTTTACCTAAAAATCTGTCAAGTTATCCGGGCTTAAAAAAACACCACTCGTTGTCTGTGCCATAGATTTGTATAGTAATTCCTTCGTTGTTTTAGTGTCTGCTCTTCCAAATCCCACGACAGAAGAAGATGAAGACGAAGACGACACAACACCAAGTCGAGCTGACGCTGATGATGACGGGAGAGTGTACAAGAACCCTCGGAACTCTCCCTCTGCACAGTGTCCGAGAGATGAGGAGCAGGCCACGCTACTGGTGAGCTTTTGAAACCATTGAAGATGAAGTTGATTCTGTTATGCTAGGCTAGTTCGTTATAGCGGTTCGAGGTTTTAGATTTCAATCGAAAAGCGCATTATGCATATCTATACTAATATATAAAGCTAAGGAGTTTGTTTGAACGCGCTAATCTCACAAAGTACTAGTTCAAATTAAAAATTCCTAATGTGTTGTTTAGAGCATTTACAACTATTCACCTCTGTGGGTTTTCGATGCGTACGCTGCGAAAACGGTTCAAGATACCCAAAAATATGTATGAGAAAAGAATTTCTCTTAAAATTATCTAAAAAAATGTCTGCAATATTATATGTCTATCTATTAAGATTAAAGTGCAAGAACGACGGGATCCGAACGACGGGTCGCGGCGACGAGACGCGACGTTTGAAAAGATGACGAAGTTTGCAAAAAAAAATTGGATGCCCAAAATAACTATTCTACGCGGACAAACTCGCTGACACAACTAGTCTATTTGTATCTTATGAGCCCTCTTTGAAAACAAGCGATATACAGTAAGTTAGATAAACTCGTGTGAAGTTAATAAACGTGACCTGGAAAACAAGCCTGCTAGAAAATTAGCTCGTTTACGTTTATAATAAATAATTGTCTCGGTCCAGAGCCGGGTAATAAACAGATTAGGGGCTGAGCGCCATATTCCATTCATTAAACGGTTGATTAGTTGCGCTAACACTTCTATGGGCTTCGTTTTGTCTATTAGTTTAAAAGAGACATATTGGCGTAATTTGAAATATTTCATTTAAAAATCGAAAATAAATTGAAAAAAATTTCGACTCGGGCAGGACTTGAACCGGCATCGTCAGCGTTCCGTGCTGTTGCTCTACCAATTGAGCTACCTCCTGGAGTCCTACACCTCATCGTCGAATTGGTTCAACTTATGCACATGCACCTCTCGCGAATCGATTTTTTTTTTCAATTTATTTTCTATTTTTAAATTATATAGTGCCATCATGTGAAAAATATAAAGCTTTTAATATTTCATTTTAGAAGGATACAGTACATATTTAAATAAAACACTTTAACGGTTTAAAACGCGATATGTATTAGTTAAACTTGTTTAAAATTATTTTTAACTACGGCCTACGGTTAAAGTATTTTATTGAAATATCTCAACATTTTCAAAACGTGTCTTCTGGCGTAGAAAAAGTACGGGTAAGGAAGGTTAAATGCATATACACCTACAATATTTGAGATAGAGTCAAAAGGAAAATCAATTTTAATAATTAATATGTTCATTTAAAGCATTTTTAATATTAAAAAAAAAACTTAAATATTTAGTAGCCTATCATTATACGTATTGTTATGAAACACTCAAAATTTAAATATTATATATTTTTAACGAAGCTTCAAAATGTACTTAAAAGGATTATTTTACAATAATCTGATTATATCGACAACATTGAGAAGCATATGGAAGGTTCATAGTATTTAACCGTTTCAGGGGCAGAAGTGTCTCCGCAAATGTTCATCTGACGAAGACTGTAAGAGCAAGAAGAAGAAGTGTTTGTGTGACGGCGCTTGCGGCATGTCGTGCATCAAGCCAGGTTAGTTAATTGTATCTATTTTTTATCAGTTTTCCTAAAAATAACTTAAAGAACTGCCTCGTTTGTGTGTAGCTTTTGCACTAGACTGCAATTCACCGGTCCTGGATTTGAAACCTTGAGGGAAAGTGGATGTCATCACCCCTATGCTTCGAAGCACGTTAAGCTTTTAATTAATAAGCCAACCCGTCCGGGAAAACCATTTTTCCATGCGCGGGGAGATCTGAGCATGGGACATAAAGAGATATACCTAATAATAATTACTTTTACGTCTGTCACTTTTGGGGCGCCGTTGAAGCCATCGAAACGAAAAGTCTCCCGAGTCTGTTCTCGTGATGTGAGCACAATAAGCGATGCTCCATTACAAAACAAAAGAACGTCTAGAAACAAAATCCCGTGTTACGTGATCGAGAGTAGTTACGTTCGACCCCGATTTATGCGTTTGTCGTGGAAAACTAATAAATTGTGCGCGCTTCGCTTTTCTACGGCGACGGATAATAGGGCCCCGGGGTGGACGCTGGACCCGAGGGTCCGCCGTGGCCCGGTCGCGTAGTTTATCACTTTATTTGATGGAATATTTAAGGAAATATACAAACTAAAACGTAGTTAAATAATAGGTATTAGGACCACAAAAATCTGGGGACTTTTGAAAATCCCACTTTTTATTCCCAAATTCCTGGCCTACTAGTAACAAGTTATTCTGTTGTCTGGAGGAGACTTTTCGTGTAGCATTTATCTTTATTTATTTAATCTTATTTTAAAACTGTAATTTTCATTAAGCTAGATGTGATTGGTTCCAAATTCCATAATGTTATATAATTTCTCTTAAAGGCTACAAAATATGGAAATAAAGAATCCTTTTAAAAGCGCCTTAGATTAAAACGTTTCCCGGTTTAAGCCCTCGTTGATACGTCTTCTCAAGTTTTATAGAATCGTAAAGCTTCTGGGTTTATACTGTCAGAATAATAAAAGACCTCATATCCTAATGGAGGTAGCTGCTAATCGCTTCGAAAAATATAGCGATAACGCTGGGAAATGTTTGAATGAAATCTATACTAATATTATAAAGCTGAAGAAATCGTTTGTCTGAACGCGCTAATCCCAGGAAGCACTGGTTAAAATAGCAAAATCATTTTTGTGTTGGAAAGAAAATTTATCGAGGGTGGCTTTTAAACATCACGATCGATAGGAGCGAACTATTCCTCTTTCAGGGCCTCCGTCGCAGGCAAAAAACTTTGTATGAAAGAATAATTGTTCTTTATATGATCTAAAAAATATAATGACAGTATAATGTCTATAGTTTAAGGCTAACTCGCAAGAACGACGCGACATTACAACAAAACAATTCCACGCGGACGAAGTTACGCACACAGCTAATTTATATTTTTACGTATTATAGGTGGGTAGGTATGTAGGGGTGATAATGGCGCCAATAGTGTTCAGTAGTTACACGAAATGTATAAAAATCGATAAAGTTTAGATTGTAGACTCAACACATATTTCGATTATTTAAGTAACGTAAAGTGCAACGATTATGACAGCTGTCAATTGTCGTAGAATCCATTTTTGTGGCAGATTATAGAAATATAAGCCATCCGAAGCGAGTGAAAGCAAAAATTAGGTTCACAAAACGATGTCACGGTCCGCACAACCCACTCCCAGCACAACCACTTGACCTTACCTGCAGAAGCGAGCTTCATTCAGCGCTGAATGCGATATTGACATGCGTCGCGCGACCTCACAGCGACCGACTGTTTCAATTAAACCTATATTTTTAATATTACTACTTACTACTACTACTACTTCTGACACCACAGTTAAGTCTATTACTCATTGCCGAAATTAAATCTTTTGTACGGTTGTCTATTAAATATGTATAGGGACAAAGTTTAAAAAGTTTTAGAATTTTAGCTGCAGGGATCATTTGAGTGTACATAACCTAAGTGCGATAGTTTGTCTGTGTCTTCATGAATTATGTAACTTCTCCGTTATAAGGTTTCGAGGAAAGCCGTACGCTATAGCTAGTATGTAAGTGACATCCAAGACGTATTCATGAAATCTAAATTTGACATGAGCGCGCGCGGCTCTGCATAAACTCCACGTTTTCACACTTCAACAATATATTCGCTTCAGTTTCTCTTCTAAACTGCATAAAGATAACTTATGTAAATATTTTTTACTTTAGCTTTTAAAATTTTAAGAGTGCTTTAACACGTAACGGTAATTTGAAATATACTAATATTATAAATGCGAAAGTAACTCTGTCTGTCCGAATTTAACGCCGAAATTACTGAACTGATTTAAATGAAATTTGGTACGCAGATATTTTGGAGCCTGACAACGGACATAGGCTACTTTTTAATGCAAAAAAAGGGTTGTTAGTGGTAGCAAGGGGGATGAAAATTTGTATGGAAATTCGTGGTTTTTGAAGCTAGAGCAATGAAACTTTCTTCTTTGGCTTTTTGGTAATAGGAGTAGGAGTGGGAGTGAGTGTATGAATTATAGTGGGAGTTAGAGTAGGAGTGATGTAAGGTGAGTGTTTTGCGGCAAAGTAGCACTTACAACATAGATTGGCTGCCTTAAATGCGCCCTTACATAAATTAATAAACAGCCTTAGTTAAAAATTCTACCCCAAGTCAATATTTCACGCGGACGAAGTCGTGGGCACAGCTAGTACGTTATATGAAATACTGTCTCTCCGTGACCACGGCTGCTGCAAGGCATACGAAACCTCTGGTCGTAGTTAAAATAATTTTCAAATAAGTTTAACTAATATATAGCTCGTTTTAAACCGTTAAAGTGTTTTATTTAAATGCTATAATATGACGTTATTGTATACCGTACACCTTAACAATTTATAAATAATGCATAGATAGGGCTGGAATAGAGACAGTCGCAAGTCGTAAACATGTATGTTGTACATTGTACAGAAAAGTAGTCGTACTTATTTAGCATTGCAAATTTTAACAGAGAGAAGTACTAGTAATTTAAGCAGATCTTATAAATACTGTCGTTCTTTACGCGAGTAGTACACATTTAAATGACACTTAACGCGATACAAATTAGTTAAAATATTTTTTTTAATATGTAAAAGTAATATGTATGTAAAGGAAAAGCACCGTCCTGTCGTGGTGGTGGAGTGGTTTTCCTTCAATTTAAATTTGCCGCGTTAGCCATAGATGTTTTTTTTGTATGATGGTAATTAATAAATGTCTGACAGCGCAGTGTCAATGGATGACGTCTGGCATCTGGCGGCGGATGGCATTTTTATATATGGATAACAATATTAATTTAAACCTGAGGAAAAGGCATTATTAAATGTTGTTTCTTGTTTTTTCAGAGAAACGCAATTACGTCTTTTCTTAATAAAACCTATAAAAGCCATTATATATATTTGCCGATTTGTGTTGCTGATAAAAAGAGGTACGATTATTTTCCTGGATTTGAACCAGTTGGCGGAGAAACTATATAAGAGGTGATATAAAATATTTACGAGCAGAAGCAGGTGTGTCGCACACTAAACTTTCGAGAACTCATCAAGCGGAATATTAATCGGTGCAAACACTAAGTTATAATTGTGCCTCGTAATTTTAAATGATACCTGTCTCCTCGGCTCTGAATTATTCATGTCGGTTCATCTCGCTTTGTGTAAACGGCTTTGCCTCGATGCGAGTAATATTCTAGAGATATTCATTGCTATTTCCGATGCTTTTGAGGTTTTCCTAGGAAGGTTCGGAATCAGTTTGGTTATTGTCATTGTTCTTACAAGGGATCACAATACGAAGGGATCCTTAAATCGAGTTTGTTGTCTGCAGTTCCGCTTTATAATATAAAACCTACCTAAAACGTAATAAAAATCTGTCTATCTACGAGAACACAATTTAAATAATAGCACTGATGGTACTTTACAGACTTTATTACAGTATATCCAATTTTATATTGATACTAATATTATACAGCTGAAGAGTTTGTTTGTTTGTTTAAACGTGATAATCTCAGAAACTAATGGTTCGAATTGAACAATTATTTTTGTGCTGCCAAGATCAATTACGCTTCGGCTTCAACGAAAGCCCTCAAAGTATTCTTTGAGGGCTTTCGTTGAAGAAACCAAAAAACATCTATGAAAGAATGATTGTATTCAAAAATGTCCGGGACAGTATATATGTATATGTTTTAAAATTAACTCGCAAGAACCTATGGGACTTACACATACATACTGACTAACAAGAACTTATGGGAATCAAATTTGTTTGAAATGATGCCTTAATACCAGTTATTTGTTAGAGTTTATCTTAAATAATATTGATCTTGCAAACAACAAAGCTTTTATTGGATCAGCTTTCATCAGATCATTGGATCATACATAAAGTCTTTGGAGACATTCTCCGTATATTATATTATTCCTCCATTTCAAAATGAGCGAATATTACTGTGTGACTATAAATATTGGTCTATAAAGGAGTAAACAAAAACTACGCTAAGTGTATTTTACGTAGAGTACATTAGACGAAAGCCCGTTAAAGTTTTCACGGAGAAAGCGAGTCGCTCCGAAGTAAATTTGAGTTCTCTTCGCATTGTGAAGTTGAATTTATTGTTAACAGCTATCGTGCTCGTTACCTCGTAAACATTACAAAATATAAGACGATCTTTGAAAATATTTTTCTATTCTTGTCCCTTAGTAATGGCACTACGTTGTAAAACTTTTTTTTATGATAGATGTAGATAGACAAGCCTACATCTCACCAAGATGCGCCGTCGACCCATTTCTTTAATTGACTTTAGATAATCGGAAATCCACAGACTAAAACCGAAACGTGGTTAAACTTCCCAGCTTTTTTATTCGTAGACGGTGGTACGTGAATATGGAATACATATGTATGTACATATCGAATAAAGCATAGTATTTTGTTATTATGTCCCTCGTGTGGTCGTCTTTAGTGATATTATGAACTACCGTATCGAAGTCTGTCTCGAGAACGGAACTAAATGCAAAGAGAGTGTTCCTTGC